TTCCCTCCAGATGTTAGAGTTTGGGAAGGAACCAAAAGGGAGTGAAAAGAGGGAGGGATACGGGGGGAGAAACCAGCTGCCGCCACTGCCAGTTCCACCCATATACATGAAGTCACCTACTCCTCCCTCCCCGAGACTCCCAATATCATCTCCTTCACTCCCCTCTGCTGAAAAATTTACCCTCCCTTCTCATTCTCAGTTCTACACATACTGCCTTCCTATACCCCAGGAGGCAGCTAGGGCAGGCTGTGTTTACTGCTGAGGTAATTGGAGTAGTTTGGAGAGAGCCTGACCCTAGCCCTGCTAAGGCCTAAGATGTGTGTGTGTGTGTGTATGTGTGTGCTCGTATACTCACATGTGTGCGTACGGCTGTTTGTGATGACTGGCAGAGAGGCCAGGGAAGGAAAGCAGGCCTTAGCCAGTGTCATCCCACTAGGGAGCAGACAAATTGGCTTTCACTACTCTGTCTGTCTTTTCTCGTTTCATATTCTTCAGCTATTCCTTTCTTCTTACTACCTATCTTTCCATCTCTCCACCAACTCAAGGACAATCTTTCACGCTTTCTCTTGTACTTGCTCCGCAGCGCTTTTTCTCTTCCTGTTACCCTTTTGTTCCACTTCTCTTTCTGTATCTCTCACTGCTCATCATTTCATCTCTCTGAGCTGAGCTGCATAGACTGTGACTCTTGCCAGATATGAGAAAAAAACTCCCCCTCAGTTGCCGTCATAGACACGAGGAAACTCATCCAACCTAATCCAGGCGCCTGTTGCATTTTTCTGTGGGTGAGAGGGGAAAGGAAAGGGCCTTCAATCGGGGTGTCAGGGCGAGAGTGAGTGTACACAATCATTCATGGGATGCACATGCAGTAAATGCCATTAAACACTATTGTCTAATAAAAACTAGCATTAGCTACAGTTTGTTTTCATATAAAACGCTGACACGAGCTGTGATCAGAAGAGGCACGGGAGAGTGAAGCGTGACAGTAATTTAGCATGCATCTAGTGACCTCATCGCCGGGTTGTCAGGTAGGCATTGGGACATGGCTCACCTGCTTTAGCTCATCACACTGCCTGCTCCTCCTCCGCCACCTTCCCTCATCCCTCCGTCTTGCTTGTCCCTGATAGCTTTTACCGCTCTGCTGATTTCACAAATAGGCCTCATTGATTGAATCTGATTCTTGTGGATAGAGCAGCTTTATTGAGTGGCTTTTTCACTGATGGACAGGAGCGTGTGTGTCTGTGTGTGTCTGCGTGTTTGTTACACACATTCATGTGTGCATGTAAGAGATGATAAGAGAAAACTTCCTTTCCCCATCCCTCTCATTCTGTAATCCAGGAGCTATTCATCTCCAGGGAATTCCAGCAGCCAGATCATTACAGACACACACAAAGAAGCTCTCACACACACACTTAGTGCAGCATCAGAGTGAAGATTTTATTATTTATTGTGCATGCCGACTGAGGAGTCTGTTAATTGTGACGACACCTTGAGCAAGACAACATTTAAGTGTTAACTGCTCTCCCAGGTACCGTTCATCATTTATCTAATCTGTGCTTCTGCGGGGGGAAGCAACATGATTTCTGCAGTGCCGTCTTTTGTTTCCTGCCCGTGTAAATGGCTGTCTTTAGCCATTTTGAGCCTGTCATTTTTCAGTTGTTGTTTTGCTCAAGCTGTAGCAGTAATACAACCAGCACTTCCCAAAACCTACCATTACTACAGAGAAAAGTGGTGGCAATGCTGCAAGAGGGATTTTGTGTTTTGATGCAGAAAATGAGCTTGTTTCAGATGTAAAACAGAAATGATCTGTCTTGCGTTTGGGGGGTTTAGTGAGCAAACTGTTAGAGGCTGGAGCTATATCGGCAGCCCTCCACTGAGGATGTACACATTTCACACACAGCAATGCACACCTCATCCTTGCAGCAGCAGCAGCATCTGTGCTTTTCCCCTCTCGCTGCCCTCTATTTTGTCTCTCTCCTCTCAACAGGCAGTGTGCCACCTATGCAGAGTTGGATGGATGGTGGCACCCCCTTCCCCTTGCACCCATTTAACCCCCACAGCCCTGCAGATCCATCATTGCTCAACACACACAACACATGTAACACCCTCATCCCTGAATGCATATGTCCTGATCTGCAGCTTCCTACTAAGTAACCCCTAATCGTTTTGTCATATACTTTAGAGTCTCACCCCTGAAATGTGCTAATTATTATGTCTTTTTCTTTTTTAACTCTTAGTCTGTTGCAACCAAACTGATGCTGTGTTCTTTGCACTAAGCTTGCTGGGATGCTATGTGCTCATTAAGGGCTAGATCTTAATATAAGAGACAAGCCTGCCAGTTCATTTAAATTACAGTTGGAGGTTTTTCTGCTTGTGTGTAAAATAAAACTTGAATGCAAGTGTGGTTTTAGCAGAATTGGTATTCTTTATCCAACTCTCCACGTAGGGACACGGGCAAGATTGTGTGATTTATTATTGTCAGAATAAACATATTAAGCTTTGAAAGCATTACACATGCAGCCCCTCGTCATGATTTTCCTCTGCTGTAGTTATGTTATTCATTTTGTATTTTCTCTTTACTTTTCATCCCTCAATTTGACTGCCTTGATTATACTCTGTTACGGATACAGACCCGGCAGCCGAGTAGTCATTCTTCTAATATTTTATTTCAAGTCTTCTTGAAGTCCTCCACCCGGGGCGCTTGCGTAGTTGGTGCATTGCAATGTAAATTCTCTCCACGGTTCCGGAAAACAGGCAGGTATGTAGACATTTGCACGAACCCTCACGCTCTGGGTCTGATGATGAAATTTACATCACTTGTACCCGAGCATACTTGTGGACGTGGGAAGCTTACGTTTGCTTAAGCCAGCTCCAGAGAAAGGATTATGGACTTTTAGGGAGACCCAGACACACACGTAGAGGGAAGCAGGAGAATAAATGGTTGTTTTGACTTATGAGAGTCATTAGCAAATAACGGCAGGCTTGTCCCACTTTCTGGACTGTGCAAGGTTGTAGACATCATGATTATATTGACTTTGTAACGTAAGTAACTAAAGGTGATCCCAGAAATGGAAGAAACAGAGATGATATTGGATTTAATGTCTATTGGCAGGGCTTGTTCATTCACGTGTTCGGTTGTTTACGTAGAGATTGCAGCATCTAATTAGTACTGATTTTGGCTCTCTATTGAAGATGGTTTATTGGTCCATGTTAGCGACTGACCTGTGCCGTGTTCAGTTAGTGTTGAAGCTGCATGTCAAGCTGCCCTTTGCTCACCTCCAAAGCTAATGGCGAGGGAGTAAAATAGTGCTTGGCTGCTATTTTAACACCTTGTCTTGACTTGTCTGTCATACAGTACTGTTCAAGCCTGTAGCTTGATTTTTTTTTAATTTATTTTAACCAATTTCTGAATGTGCTAGTTAGCATAAGTTGTCATTTGATTAGATGTAAAATATTTGATTCAGAGGTGAATATTAGGACGCCATTTTGAATGAAATGAATGATAATTAGATGTTAATTATTGGTAATGTAAAGCTGTTTGTCTAATCAATCAATTTCTAATTACCTGGAAAATAAAAACATGTCTGTTGAATCACTAGTTATTGTTTGATCAGCCTTTGCAGCTTGGAATAATTCGGTGTCGTTTTCATGCTTTAAGACCTCCCTATTAAAAGAAAAGAGAGACAGATCACAGTGGAGGTAGCGAAGGAAAAGAAATTTCCTTGCTTCATTAATTGGCAGCTCTGTGGTACACTAAACATGCCGTGTGCACACAGACGCAGACACACTGTTGAATGCTGTGACTGCTCTGAAGCCACAGCTTTATATTTAGTCAAGGGAGACCAGCCTCTGTCACTTTTTCTCTTGCTTAACCTCGCTCTTTCTCTTCCTCTCTCGGTGGCTGTGTTGAAGAGGAGTCTCATGGGAGGGCTTAACTCTGAGCCCTCGTTCTTTTTCCGTTTCTTTCTCTCTCTCCTTCCACGTCTTTTCTTCCCTTATCGTCCTGTGAATGGAGCTGCAGGCTGTTGTTGAACTGTGAATTAGTCCAGGAGACACACTCTGTACCTAGACAAAATAGAGAAATGGAGGAGGTTCTGTATCTGCCTTTCTGCTTTCATTCCTGCCACCCTGACAGGCAGGTTTGCCTTACTCTGTGCACACATGAGGCGTTTAAATGCTGGTGCAGAGTGTATGTGCCTACGAGTTGAACTAGTGAGGGAACAAGTGTCACAATTTTACCTTGAACCAGCAAAAGGTATAAAATCAATAACTGACTTGAGGTTAACCTGAGGTCAGCAAGGCTTCACGTGCACCCTCGGTTTTGTGAATAAGCCACGTAAGATCGTGCCTATATTGTGACGTACAACCTGGAAAATCACAGGGAGGGGTTTGTGTTGTCATGGTTATTGAATGTTCAGTAGCTTCAGAGGAAATTAAGTTTGGGTGGGGTGGGGCGAGGTGCAGAAAAGAAACTGGGAGGAATGGATGGGTGAGTGGGAGGAGGAAGGAGGGGTGCTATCTTAATTGCTTTCCGTGAATAATTTCAGTCCCCTAATTTGGCGATAATGACAGTGGCTGCTGCTTTTGTATTTATTTATCCAAACATTAATTGACAGGACTGACATTAGCCAGTGCGGTTATTGCGCATTTGATTGCGCACAAGGGAGCAAAGAAAATTACAGTAATTATCATTCTGATATGGATTATGAATATGCATTCCCACACTTAATGTCTCTGTCAGCATTTTAGTAACAACAAGGCACTCTGCCATGACAACAGCACTTTAGCTTATCTCATATCTGCTTCCCTAAACCCAGTCCAACCAGTGCTTCTGGAGAGCAGATGACATGTCGTGTCCAAATGATTTAACGGCAACACCCAGACATGCGGTTAGGTGAAATGGTCTGCATGTGGATTGTTTTAGTTGTCCGATAGTTGTCGGCTCATGTTAATTAATGTAAGGTGTGTTAATGTGAGTATTAAAATGTTTTGTTTTTTAACAGGCGGAGGGAGAGGACAATTTGAAGAAGATGCAGCTGATGGAGCTAGCTATTCTCAATGGGACATACAGAGATAACAACGTCAAAACACGTAAGTGAGCTGCAGTGAAAAGCAACCACATCCCCAATTTCCATAATCCATCAGTTTTCTTCCATACATAATAAAAACCTTTAATATTTTAATGATATTTTTCCAATATTTCCCATTAACTCGTACTTTTGGTTTTCATTAAATAAATGTGCAGTCAGATCCACTGTGTACATACATCATACATCTCTGACTATGAGCAGACCTCTTTTTCAAAACTGTTTTCCAACCATAAGTAGGAATACCTCTGTTCCATTTTTCTCCATATTTCTTGTCCTCCCTACCATCCTTTCATCCACCCATCCTTTCCCCTGCAATCCACATGCATTCACCCTGTTTTACTCGCTCCTGGCAGACTTTAAATATTAAGCACATTGCTATATTTCACCTGCTCAGTTCTGCATGTCAGTTGCTGATTCACGTGTGTTTTGTAATCACCGAATTATGTTTGAAAATGTAAATCATATACAGCCCCAATGTTTGACTTAATGGCAAGTTAATCTGAACTTGTGCATGTGATTATTTTCTTAATAATTAATCAAAATTTAATTAAAAATGTCACTAAAAATTGGTTATTCTGTACACTTTTTTTTTTTAATGAAAGTTTAAGCGATTCATTTCTTTGTTGAATTTTTCTCGTTTAACATCTGCTTAAATGGGAGCCATGATGAAGTAGCCCACCACCCAACTGCAGTTACAAAAGCACTTTATTTAATGGGCTTCCCTTTGGGGAAGCTTGTGTGGCACAGCTTATAGAACATGCTAATGCTTAGCCTCTATAAGAATTATATTTGTATGTCCATTTGTCATCCAACACAAACTGAGTGCTGACTTTGCAGAGGATGGGCATTTCTTTAAGTTTAAATGCTCCCACTCTGACCTTCATATCAAGTTCAAAATTCTCCTCATTTTGCTTATTTATTTATTTATTTATGCCATAAAAACTGCTTCCTCCTCTGTATGAAGTCAACAGCTCTGTTTCTGTTGGCATGCGTGTCGTTTAACTCACCCATATCATTTCCAGTAGGTGAATGTGTAGCTGCTGTGGTGATCGGTCTGCTTCAGATGCACTGGGATGATGGCGTTATTTCAGTATTTTTGTGCTTCTTGTGTTTTGGTGTGTGGGGTGATTTTATTTTTTTTTATTTTGTTTGGCAATGTTGGCAAAAGATTGTCGCTTTTGTGGTTCACCACCATGATCATTGCATGGACTAATTTTCCCTTTTGCTCCTCTCCCCTTTCTCTCTATCTCTCTCTGCCACTTCCTGTTCACCCTTCCTTTCCCCCTTTCGTATTTTCACACTTCACTTTTCATCTGTGATATTGTTCAACCACGCTACACTTTATCTCTTGTCCTCTTTCTTTCTTTCTGTTTCTGTCCTTCACTCTCTTGCTTATGGCAGCCACCCTTGCGTTCTCTCTTGCAGCGGCGGCAGCAGCCGCTCAGGGCCCTCGCCTCATAGCGACCTCCACAGGTCAGGTGTTGCCTCCCCCGGCACTGCGGCCTCCGACGCCAGCCGGGGCCCCCATCATGAACCTCATCCGGCCCACTCAGATGGCTGCCATGCTGCCCAATGGCACCCCCACCCTGGTGCCTCCCACACCGGATGGCGGGCTTATCTACACCACCCCCTACGAGTACCCTTATGCCTTGGCACCCACCTCCCTGCTGGAGTACCCCATCGAGCACAGTGGGGTTCTAGGTAAGAGAGCCTGGGGAAGCATGGGTGCAGCAGGTACAGCGACCAGCTTTAGCCAGCCTGGACAAGAGGCCAGCTTGTTTTACCCCGGAGCTGGGGTGCTGGACGCGGCTTCCATGAGCCACAGTCAGGACTTGTTGAAAGGTAAATATGTCGTGTCCACCTGAGGATCAAAACAGACAAACTCACAGGGTGGATGTACTGATGAAGCTCTTGGTGATGGGATGACCAGCTATGTTGCTCATGGACACTTTGTTAAATGGCAATGGGGGGCAATAATTACCTTGTGTGAGGGCCAGGCTAATGGGAAGTTCTCTATAGACTAAGGATATTCACTGTTTAGTTACGTTCTTGCCAAACAGTTGCGCTCTCAGGTTTATATTGCCTCTTGTCTGCAAGGTTTATTATAGGTGGACTTGCAGTTGCCTCAGCGTGAAACGAGGCACACTGACAGTAACACACTCGCATACATGCAGGTCTGCTCCCTAACCCTTTCATGCACTGGCCTAGAGGTATATTCAGTCTGGCGGCAGATCCCCTCGGATTTCTGCAGCTTTTGAAATTATTTTTCTGCGCTGTTGTCTGCAGGCAGGCCTCGATGCCTGCAGATAGTCCCTCTCACTCCCACTGGGGATGTTCATTAAATTCCCCCACTCACTCCCTTTTTTCCTTCTCTCCATTGTCTTAGCTCTAGCCCTGTTGAACCGGAGCACTTTGCTAACACCTGACGCTCCACTTACTTTTTGTGTCAGGAAAAAAGTCCAATATGATTGGGGGGGGGGTCTAATATATGTTGTGTTTATCCCCGACGGTGCTTTAAGCTCAGCTCATCTGCGACCAAAGAAGAAAGAACTAGGTTTAGGCCTGGTACCGTCCCCATATGTTATACTAAGGCTCTAGTTAACACAAAAGAAAAGCCGTTTCCCGCGTTAGGCAGGAGAAACCTTTGTTAGCCGCTTTCCAGATTTAATTTGACACTGCACTTCACTAATGTTCACAGATTCATTTGGCAGCAGCAGACACAAGTGTGGTTTTAGCTGACCTGTGTATTTGAGGTGCCTCTGGGAGTCATGTGTAGAACAGACAGGGGCAGCTGACTGGCTTTTCTCTCTTTAACTTGCAGGGTTACACCAGCTTAGTGCATTTTATTTACTCACACTATCGATTGGTGCCTTCAGCAACACAGGGCCCTGTGGAACACGCTCCCTCTCATACTCGCGCGCACACACACATACTCACAGACTTGGCTCAGTTTCCTGCGCTACTGTATCTAGCCACCAACGGCTTCTCTGAGAATAAAGAAATGTCAGGCCATCTGCTACTTCAGAGTAGTGTAGTTAGCTGTGTAGTCATGGGCCAAAAAAATCCGCTCTTGACAATGCCAGAAGAAAATCTTTTTTTATAACTTATTTCGCATGTCCTCGCTTCCTCTGGGAAATGTTTTTCTATTTCATTTTTTTTTTTGTTTTAAATCCATACACACATCTGAAATTTGTAACACTTGAACATAGTGTGGCACACAAACAGTTTTTGTGATGCATACGAGGTGGTGTCAACCACTGCAGTAGAAAGAAATCAGTTGTGACAAATATAGGAGGGAAATGACAGCCTGTGCCGCTAGTGAGCAGATTGACCTGGAGAGAAATGTTGAAAAGGGAAAGAGAAAATGAAGGAGAGAGGGAGAGGCAGGTGGTGTCTGGCACTATTCAATTACCATCAGAGCTGTATTGGATTTCCCCACCTTTCAAAATGAAGAGACAAATTTCTCTCTGTTCCCCTTTTGGATCCCACAGGAAGAATCACATTATTTTTCTAGACAGCCCTGGAGCCTGTACCCTTTACCTGCCCCCCCACCCACCCACATATAACTCTGAGCACTGTGGAATTTTAGTACTTAAGTTATGCATCTTTAAATACCAAGTAAATCTCCAAAAAGATGTATAATTTTTTTTTCTACTGCATTTTTTCTACATGTAAAAGGAAAAAAAAGAAGAAGACGTGTTTGTGTGTATATGTACTATAATCTGTATTATGTTATTCTGTGTATTGTTGTGTAATCCGAGCATCATAATGGTTAAAAATGTGAATGTTATCACTGTACAAATGACTGTTTTTGCCCTCCTCAAAGTGAACGGTTTCTAACCCTGTGGACCTGTTACAATCTAGGTGCAATGGCTACTAAAGTGAGACGGCATGACACGCGGGTCCATCCTTACCAAAGGATTGTGACCGCTGACAGAGGTCAGTTTAGTCTCCTAGCTACACTTTGATGTTGACTTATGCATTTCAGTGATTATTATATTATGCCTCGATGCCTTAGTTGGGAATTTCTACATTGTCTGTTTTGCATTTTGTTTTGTTTTCCTGTCCCCCTGCCACCTTTCTTACCCCGTATCGCCACACGCCAGCTAAATGGTTGATTGTGGTATGCACATTTTGTTTACATTTAGTACTTAACATATGCAGTATGTGCAGACTGTGTATATGTCAAAGCTCAGGCAAAAGTGATGTTGAAAGGTTTGGGTTTTTGCAGCTGTGAAGCCAGGACAGGTAGTACTTTGCAGGCAGTGTTGAAAGTGTATAATGACATTCCTCTGATGTGAGATTAGAGCCTAAAATGGGGCAGGCTTGTTCCCATACATGATTTATCTCCTCGACTCATAAGGAGCAGAGAAAAAGGAGATTCATTTCTATACTGTATCGTAAAGACATAGCAGGCATAAGGCAAGTGGCCGTGCTGCTACCAGGCCCCGTTTCACCTTGAAATTTACATTTATTTTTGATTTTTCTATGGAAGATAGGCACGCACAGACATAAGCTGAGGTAGCTTGCATTCTCTCCAGTGTATTGCAAATATATTGAAATAAAGCTAAAGTACATTTTTAATATTTCAGTTGTACATGAGGTACTGTCATTTTATATTTGAGCATTTTATATCAAATGTATTTATGGTTTTGTGTATATTTATATTCTATAAAAATATACTGCTAAATAAAGAGAACGAATCGGAAAACAGCGATTCATCTATTCATTGCACATATAACACTAGTCTTAGTTATGCTTCACATAACTCTAGTTATTAAGTCTCCTTAACACTAATCACACTGTTTGGAGCTTGCATTCCAACTCGAACGACACTAAAACACTAGATTTTTGTTACTTTGTTTGTCTGTTCGACCTCTCTTTGCTTCTATTTTTGGTTTTGGGGGCAATGTGCGCTTTATTTAAACCACCAAGCTACCTGATTCAGGGTGGGGCTTAGTAGTTTGGATCATGCCGCTGTGGCGCCATGATCGCAGTGAGATTAGCTGGGTTCACCTCATATTGGCAGGGGACTAAGAGCAGGGGGCCACGTAAGAGATTGCATTCATTTTATTGTTAAAATGATGTCATTCCAGTCTCTTCTTGCTGACACTAATATCCTTTCTATCTTTTTTTTTCTGTTTGTTTTGTTTTTGTTTCTAACCACCTAGCCGCCACCGGCAACTAACACATGACCTTCTGACCTCTGAACTCTTCACCCAATGACGAGCCGCCCCAAGCCTGCCTGCTGATCAGTTAACTGGTAATTGCCTTTTGCTAGCCTCTCGGACGCAAGTGTGTGAGAGAGAGAGAGAGAGGCGCCTGCCCGTACAGTTACCCTAACACATTCTGACAATAAAAAAAAAAAGAGAGAAAAAAAGTAGAAACCAACGCAGAATCTTCACAGAAACACAACGAAAACCCAACAAAGTTGTGTGATATTCATAAATATTTTTTTCCCTTTGTTCATTGAGTTCGATTCCCATTCTTTCTCTTTCTTTTTCTTCATGAATCACACACTGGGTGGACGTGTTTGTGGTATGACTCATAAATCTGCACTGAATTACATAGCAATAAAGACCCCCACCCCACACACCCCACCCCCTTCCTCTAATTACTCTGATGTGGTGACCTCACTTGTACGAGTCAAAGTTGAGTATTTATTTGACGCAAACCATTTGGTTTCAGCGTAATGGCCCTCCGATTGACAGCCCCTCCTCCCCTCCCCTCCCTCAAAATATAGATATAAGAGCGTCTACCTGCTCCCACCCTGTTCCAAAACCCACCCACGGGGAGAGAAAAAGAAACAGAAGGAAAGAGAACATACACTCACATTAACTTGTTTAATTTCTGTCATTTTCACGTGTAGTTCAGTTGTTGAGCTCTAAGATGTAATTTTGAGCTGACACATTCTGGGTGTGCCCCTCTAAACAGCTTTCTGTCTTTGTTTTTATTTTATTTTTTAAAAAGCATGGCTGAAATGATTGCTAAAGGAGCTTTTTATGATTTATGTGTTTTGTTTTTCTCTTGTCTGTTTTTAATGCTTTTTTTTTTTTTAAGTCATTTTCTCCACTTGATTTTGTCCTTTTTTTTCCCCTGTTGTTCATATTTGACTAATTAGCTTTTGCTTAAACCTGACCAGCCAAAACCAAGGCGAGGTGGTTAGCTCTAAAGCAGTACGCAAACTGATGTTCAAAGCAGGCCGCAGAAGCTTAAGAAATGATGAAGGGCAAGATGGGAAGGTCACTACTTGGGCTGATGGTTCTTTGTGTGTTTTTGTGTGTGCGTTTTTAATTAATACTACAATGAAAGTAGGGTGTGTTGAGGCATCGGGGGGAGGGAGAGGGAAATTGCCCCCCATCCACACTACATCCACTATACAGTGCCTGATGTATTTTGACAAAAAAAAATCTCAATGAGTTAGCCGAGCTGTGATCACAAAGACAAAAAAAAAAGTATTAAGTGTGCATATTTAGCCAAAGGGTTTGCCAGTGAATTATATATCTGCAGTTATGCATCTGTCTCACAGAGGGCTCTCTTTGTGATTTTTAAGAGTTTAAAAGGGTGTGAATTTTTAGTGCCTGCCTTCAGCTGTAACAGCCAGCCAGCCAGTCAGTTTAGATGATTTCTCACCCATTACTGCTCTGTTTTCTTTTAAGGTGAAGAGATGCTAATCAACACTAAATCAACATGTTACACAGTGACAGCAAAGGGGGGAGGGGGGCACTTTGAAGTTCTGTACATAAATGCTTTTGCCATGTTACCTGGATTCTATAATAAGTTGTTTCATCAGCCACGTTGCCAAACAGATGTTTTATTTTGCCATTTTTTCCATCTCCACGTTTGACTAATTCTTTTAAATGTATTTTAAGTTTTAACCCCAGTTTAAAGACTTTACATAAGTTGAATCGTGCAGTTGGCATAATCTGAGCCTACTTGCATTTTTGTGTTTTGTTTTTTTTACTGATGCAATTTCTTTTTTTCTTTTTCTTTCTTTTTTTTTTTTTTTTAAACTCGAGGTAAACGATCCAAAAGCGCATCCACAATGTGTCACACCTCCCTGTGATCATAGTCTAGCTTCTGAGCCCACAATCTTTTGTTTAACTCTCTCAAGAAAAAAATAGGATGTGAAAGCCATGCCTGCCTGTTCAAATTGCTTTATACATACGTCTTATATATATAAATATATATATAAATATATAAAAATGTAGATATGTCATTGCATATACAAATACAGAAGAGAACAAAAAAAAGATAATTTTACAGGGTGCTGGAGATGAGAAAAAATAAGATCTATTTTTGGCAATTTTAGCTTTTGATACTTTACTTGCAGTTACAAAATCAGAAAAAAATAAAGAAAAAAAGTTTAAAACCGTATGGGGGGGGCAAGTGGGGGAGGGGAGGGGAGGGGGAGAAGTGCTGTTGACCTTGAATATGATTGGAAAAGGAAGACCAAAATAGTCACGACCCTTCGGAAAGTTAGCGAGCATCAGAGTGAGACGGACGCCTAGAGAGCTTAAAAAGATCAAATCAAAGTGCCTTATCGACAGCGGTTTCTGTTTTCTAGTATTCCAGTTGTGTTCAATAATATCCAGCACCCACCAAGATGGCGCAGAGAGGAATGGCTGGTGTTACACGCTCTGAAAGGTCGAGCAGGGTAGCCGCTACCGTACCGTGGCGTTACCGAAGTTATTCTATGCAAAAGAATAGCAGTCGTTTTGACCAGCTACAAACATGTGCCATGGTTTTGTCTTCCTGAAATGATTTTTTTCTCTTTTCCTTTTACCTGATGGCCCTTTACTCTGCTGTATGAGCAGATTTTGTTCTCTGTTTTTTTAATTATTATTATTGTTATTTCGATTCTAACGATCAAACGAGATATTGTCTTGATTTTTGGTGACTTTGACTAACTTCCTAGAACAAATTGAACTGCCAGTCGTGACCCAGTAGTCTGCCGGAACATGTTTTTTTTCTTTTTTATAGTTTGTTCGTTTGTTTGTTTATTTTTATTATGAGCTAAGAAAAATACATGACGTTCAAGGGAGTGGATGGAAGAGCGAACAGCGGGTGGGGAGGGTCGTCCCCACTACGCCTGTTTGTTTTTGTTTCAACAGCTGCAAACTGAAAGCATCCAGTCCACGTCTCTCAGCGTCAGCTTGACAACAAACTATCAATACAATCATGAGGTTTAAATTGGACAGCTGAAATGTTGGAATAATGAAACAAGCGAGGCCCGCTTCACCGCCAAACAGTTCTCAGCTGTTGAAACAACTGACAGTTTATTGCTGGAAGGTGAAATAATATTAAAATCGAGGAATTCTTAAATCCAATATAACACTTGGCGGTTTTGTTTTTTTTGTTGGTTTTTTTTTCTTCCCTCTATTCATAGCTCTTTCATCATGCTGTTACAGTGAAAGGTCAATGAAATATTCTTTTTCAGTGTTATTATTTTTATTAAATTGAAATGCAATATTAAAGTGGAGCAAGAGATAGTTATTCGGCATTTGACAGTATTAAGAAAATTCCCTCTGCAATGTTACAACTTGCTGTGTCATTGTGAAAGGCTGGATAAGACCATCAGGGGAAAGGTTGACTCTTATACCTACCGTATTCTCTCTGGCCTGCCTACTACATGTATGATAATGTAATTAACAGCCATTGTTACAGGTTTATAATGTATTTTTCTAATCTCATTTTATATGTATATTAATCATGTTTCTGAGTGCTTTTTTTTCCTTCTTCTTCTTTTTTTTTTAATGAAACCCACTGCAACCCCCCTCGCCCTTAAACGACCCTCTCTCCTCCTTCTCCCCTGCCCCCTCCCCTCATCTCTTTTACATCTCGAAAACTGTCTCTTGTGGGGAGTGTTGCCTTTTTCCCTGTTACATTTTGTTTTGTTTTCTTGCTGATTCCCAGCTTGTTTAACTCATTAGCTACTTTATTAGTTAATTTTTTTTCCTTGTCACGAGTATTTTTACATGCTTGCATTTAGTTTTCATGGTGTATGCTGTTATTTTTTTCTTATTAACCTCTTGGCATTTATTTTAATAAAACATTCTTAGTAAGAATTTTACTAACTTGCTGATATTTTGTCTTGTGTTTATAACCAGTTTCATGAATGTATTACCTCTGGTCTGGTTCACGGACTAACACGATTAAAACCAGTTGTCCTGCCACCACTTCCACTGACTGACAACGCACATTACATGAACGCGTGCGCTCTACATAAAACCACACTACACACACGCACAGATCTAACTGGAAACTGCACGAGTTGATAAATGTCCCTCACTGCCGCTCACGCGCTCTCACCTCTGTGCTGAAAGCAAAGAAACCAACAAAAAAAAGTCTTCTGACACTCTTCATACTTGCACCCAACACTGCTGCTGTGTCTTGTCGTCTCTCTCCGAAGCAACTTTTTGTTAGTTGTCCTGTCCGCCTGTGTCACTGACCCTCCGCCGCCCCCTCCGTGAGACGGCAGGAAGTGTCGCCCTGTCTGAAACAACAAGCCCCGCGTTGCTCGAGGTCACGGGTTAACCTCTGGGTCGGCTGTTCTCTCTCCAACGAGGCGCGCACTGATTAAAAAAAACAAATACATCTCCACACGCAAAGTCAAAACGCCCTAATCCCCAGAAGATAAAACTCCCATTTCCTCCCTACACACACACACAGACACACAACACTATCTCTAACCATTAGTTAGTGCAGGACTAATCGCAAGCTGTGCAAAAATACTCATATTAGTCATCTCAAAGGGATTAATTTTACTGTGAATGTGAAGAGCAGAACATCTCATCACTGCACATTATAGATGTAGTGAGTTATTTACAACAGACACTCGGCCGGGGGGGCAAATTTATAGATGGCGGTCGTGTGAACGTCTAAAGCTGTATTTTATTTAATTTTTCCATCACTTTCCCTCTATTGCATCCCTGGCTTGTTATGCCTGGACTGGAGCATTACTGTTATCACCAGCTGTTGCCTGTTTGGTGAACACTTCTCCCCATTCAGCTTATTGATATAACGGCTAATACTAGGCCATTTGGGAGCATCTATAACGCTTAGACACACACCAGTACACCACGCCAATATGAAGTGCTCTGGGATCAAAACAACCGTACTATTTCTTCCAGTGTAAGAATGCTGATATGGCTTTCAGCTTGCTAGTATTTATCACCTTTTTTTTCTGTCCAGGGTGGATTTTCCTCGTCTGAAACACTGCCAGTGTGTGTGTGTGGTTTCTTTTTTGTTTCGTGTTTTTTCATCCTCCTGCTGACATTAAACTCGTCCTGGGGTTCATTGAGCTTTCTTCTCCTTTTTCTTTATTCAGCTCTCTTCTTCCTCCACTCTTTACTCGAGGTATTGACACTGACACACAAGCAACAGATTAACTTCATTAATCCCGATTATTACTTTAACCCGCTGAGTTGTTGCCTCCAGATCATTATTTTGGGGGTTTTTTTTCCTCCTTTTTAATATCTGCAGCAACCAAAACAACTTGGCCTTAACTTGTTGCAATTCTCTTCGTGTCTCAGCGAGCGGAGAGCAAGAATTAAAGTGTCTAACATCAAAACTAACATTTCTCGACTTGGAAAATTAACATTAACATGTTTTTATTTTATTTTAACCTTTAACACCTGCTTATACACCAGCAAATAAAGGCAGAGATTACATTACAGGCAAGCCAAAAAATTTTAATTTTGTTTTTTCGATGTGCGTTTTTGATTGTTAGACATAAGCTTTTTATTTATTAATCTAGTATTGGCCTTTAATGTGTGGTGTTTTTTTTGTTTGTTTTTTTTTGTTTTGATTGGCTTGTCTGTGTCGTAATGAGCAATTTGAGCTAAAAATCCGTCCACTAGCTGTCACAAGCCTTGCCTTTTTATATGTCGGAGAGGTTTTCAGTGGCTCCCGTCAACAAACGAGCTGATGAAAAAGACAGTGAGCCGGTGGGAGTTCTTTTCTGAAGCACAGTAAACTACAAACGCTGCCTAAAATACCGCAGCTCTGTTTAAAAAGTGCCTTTTCTTTCTCAGATTGGAAAATTATATATTTTTGTACTTTATCATTCAAGTGCCAATTTTCTGCCTCCCTTTATCTCACCAAAAGCTGTTGTTTTTATTCTTGCCTTGTTGAGCACACAAAACTAAATACCCAAGCACAATGCACATTTTTTTTTTTCCTTTTTTTTCCTTTAAACTGGGAAATTTGACCAAAAAAAAAAAAAATAAGAGGGGGAATTTGGTCACAGATGTTTCCCACCATTAAACTTTGGCTTAATGGGTCCTGTTTTCGATTTGATCCACTGAGAACTTTCTAATCGGACCACAGTATGCAGTGAACTGCTGCTGGTTGCATACTGCTGCCATCTCTGGCAGAGTTCTCAGTGTCTTTTCCCAAATCTGTCACAGGACATTCAGTGGATTTATCTACTAACTACCTTCTCACCTGTCAATCTCTTTTTCTTCTTCACCTCTGTTTAACAAACATTCCTCCAATGAGTTAAACGGCAGGTTTAACAATCAGTACTGGTCTCAGCGATGTAGCACTCAGGTGGTTAAAAGAAAAATGCTACCAAAATACAGAAATTAATTCGCCCCACTGGATTTTTCTTCCTTTAAAAAAAAAAAAAAAAAAAAAGATATATATGCATTTAATAGTATAAAACAATTTTTTTCCTAAAAAAATACTAGTATGATATATTGTAAGTTTCTCATCCATTTAGTGATGCAATATCTGTGAGATTTCCTTTTTTGTGGAGTTGTAAGTTTTTATGTGAAGTAGTCTTTATTTTGTTTTGTGTTATCTTGTTTTTTATTATACAGGGTTAGACTGAGAATTTTTCAATAGGGTGTAAAACATGAAATGCCAGTTTTTGTTGCTCACACCAAAAAAAAGAGGAAAAATAAATAAATATGAGGAGAACAAATGTCATGTGTGCAATAAAGAACGATATTTACAAGCTTCCCTCTGACTGCTCTACCTGGACTCGTCCTTTTCACACTTTTTATCGGTAACATCATTTCTTTGGATTTGCTGTGACTTTGGGGAGTTGAAAAGGTAGGTAGGTGTGCTATACTTACAGGAAGTTTTTTAAAAAAAAGTGAGAGTTCAGATCCTGGAAAAATAACTCACCTAAGCCTTTAAAGTGAGATCAAGCCCTCTGCTGGATTTGAGTGTGATGTTGGTAAAATGTAAAATGCTGACCTTCAGAGAGGGTCACACAGTTAAAGCTTTCTCTCTGGAGACGGCGTCCACACTGACTTTTAAAATCTGTGCTGACTACTGCTGCACCAAATCCTCGCGCTTCACTCCTGTCTGGTCCAGTCAATCGTTCTCGACCGCTAGTAATCACGCGTGACAGGTGACACCAAGTGTACTGACGTCAGGTTAAAAAGTTGACACTTCTACAGCAAACTGAGCAGTGATACTATTTGGAGGCGGATCTGTTTTAATAAAGGCTGACGATGCGGAGTGATGTGTCATCTTGTCATTGCTGCACACGGCGAACTCATCACGAGGTCGACCGCTCGCTAAAAGGCTGCGTGTCACACTGAATGAGCAGCATGCAGTGTTTACATACTCGCTTCCTATAAATAGCTGTGTTTCACTCATTAAATGTCACGCGTGCGTCTGCCAATGAATTCAAGACTGCGAGGGGTTAGATTCTCTTACCGGTGTGTTTAAAATTTAATACGTCACGCCTCTGCTGCCATACACGAATTGATCTTTGAGTTTCATGTTTTCCATTTTAAACGTAATGTTTTATTTGGAGTCCTGGAGGCCACTTAACCTGCTTAACAGCTATAAAAGGAAAGGGGAGGAGGTTGTAATCAGTAGGGTATTTTCTGACCTGTTACTTCTGGGGTTTTTACTGTTTTAATTGTGCAAGACGTTTATCTGGTTTTCACTCAGTAGCACTTTAATCCGAGGAAGATGGTTAATATTTCTGTCTGCAGTCATTTATATTTGATGGGATGGCTCTGTGGTGGGGAGAGCAGCAACAAGGACCTCCTGCACAAAAAGCACCAGGCGTCAACACTGACAGCAGGTATCTCATTAAATCAGATACAGCATGAGGAGTTGCCACATGTATGCAGAACTGCAGGCACTGAAATGCCGCATGCTAAATGAGATTTAGCCAACCTGCAGCTGAGCCCGGGTGCTTCTGTGAACAATATGCCTGTTTTAGTGCTCATGCACTAGGTACACCTAACCAGCCAATCACATGGGAGCGACTGCATTTAGACACATTTGGTCAACACAACTGGTGAAGGTCAAATCAAGTGTCCACATGATGAAGAACTGTGATTTAAGTGAGTTTACGTGGCAGTTGGTGTTTGACACACACAATCATTTCTAGGGTTTACAGAGAAAAATAAAATGTGAGCCACAAACATATCTTGAACATCTCTGAACGCGCAACAGCCTTAAATAAGCCTTAAAGCAGCACAGAAGGCCACACCGGGTGCCACCTATCAGGTAAGAACAGGAAAGTGAGGCTACAGTTTGGTCAGGCTCACCAAACTTTGGTAATCAAAGACTAGAAAAATGTTGTCTGGACTTGATCGTAGGGCCCGAATTTGTGGATCCATCCTGCCTCGGTTCAGGCTGCTAATGGTGTGGGAGATATTTTCTTAGTGCACTTTAGGCCTCTTTGTACCCACTGAGCATCATTTAAACATGACAGCACACCTCAATATTGTTGTTGACCATGTTGACCCTTTACCACAGTGTACCCACCTTCTAATGGCTGCTTCCAGCAGGATAACACAACATGTTACAAACTGGTTCACTGTACTTAAATGTCCTCCATAGTCAGCAGATCTCAATCCAATAGAGCACATTCGGGATGAGGTGGAACTGGAGATCAAACGAGCAGCTGGAAAATCTGCGAGAACTGAGTGATGCCCTCATGTCAACAGGAACAAAATCTCTGAGGAGTGTTTCCAGCAGTTTTTTGAATTCAGGCAACATATTGTAAAACGTCTCATTTGGAGTCATTAAAATGCCTGATGGTAATTTCTGTGTTTTGTCACATTTATGCATTGTGCAAGTTCAGTTTGTGGCAAACAAAATAAGATATCACTTACATCTTTTCTTTGTTTGACTTTAAAAAGAAAAAGGAAAAAAAAAAGTCCTAATTTTTTTTTTTTTAAATATATGGTTATTTTCAGAGTAACACAAGTTAGGTCCGTGGTCCTTAAACAGTGAGCGAGTGAAATCATCAAAACCCCCTAATTTACATCCATAATGATATCAAAGCTCCATGAGTTATTATCTAAATAGTACCCTGTCAGGTGCAGATGACGGCCTTCAAAATTAAGGTAGGAGCTTAAAATCTCGGCTCTTCCTGGAGTCGTATAAATAAAAATCTTTGTCGGGCCTGGAGGCTGAAAAGAGAAGCATAATCCCGTCAAGAGAATGACTAAAGGTATGTATGCTTACACATTAATCTGCATTTTCATTCTGTACACACGCCAACTCGATGTGAAGTGGTGTTTCTGTACACAATCAGCTCACGGCGAGCCCAGGTGGAAAATTAAATTCATCAAAACAAACAAGAGTCCCTCTCCTTTTCCTATTTCATGGAGCCAATATAAGATGTTTTCTGTTGGCTGCTGGGCATTCTCCCAGGCATTTACCCTGATTATCAAACATATCATGTCTACTGTAGGTTACTGAGGAAGGCCCATCTGCTAAAACCAGAGAAATTTTACAACCTGCAATGAAAATGACCCATCTTCACTGGGTAATTGGACCAATCTACAACTTCTGGGTGCTTCCCGATGACTTATTGTCACCCGTAAGAAATAAAAACAAATGGGTTTGAAGTGGGCGTCTCATTCCGGCTCAAACTGGCATCTCTGCAGGAAAAATCTAGATCACACGGCATCTTTTCCTTTTCTTTGTCTTCTTCTGTCGTCCTTGCGCTGGAGCACAGAGCTGCCGCAGAATGGGACGGCGAGTTCACGACTTTCAATGTCACGCAGGAAGCTGCTGGTGGGGAGACAGAAAGAGAGCAGAGAAGTGGAAGGGAGGAGAAGGAGGAGGAGAATGCCGATGGTGGCTTTGGCCTCCGGGAAGACGCATCAAAGGAGCATTTGTCGCAGAGACCAGCTGGGAGTATAATCAGAGAAAGAGAACTGGAGTTCAGTATATGTGTGTGTGTGTGTGTGTGTGTGTGTGCCTGTGTGTGTTTTTGAATGAGGAGAGTGGAAGGGCTGCATCAGTGGTGACATATGAACCAGCTTCCTGTGGAATGAATGTAGGGCATTCATCAGGGTGCAGCTGTTTCTCCCTCTCTTGCTGTGCATGTGTGTGTAGTGAGTTGTTTTAGAGGGTGCAGTTGTTGTAGGCTTCAAGCTCAGACTGATGAATGAAACTCTATAGTTTTTTGGGCACCTGTGCAGAGTGACACAGTCCAGCAGCTGGATTGTGGTCATCCCGAGACAGCGAGATAGGGGAGCGCACAAGATTGGAGAAGAATTACTTACTTGGTGACAGACGTGGGTATTTCTCCCCATCTCTGAAATCAGTCGCTTGGTTTCGTTGCACAGGTGACAAAAAACACAGTAGGTGGCACACGTGTCACCAGATCCCCTGCTTTGAATGTCTTCATAATAACTTATTTTGAATTATGCATCCAAATGACTAAAGGCCCGCTGACATTTTCCTCGTCAGCCACATACGCACCGATGCAAAGATGTCGCTACGAGACATCAAATTGCAGAACCATCTGTCACGGCGCTCTAGTCTGGGCAAAATGATGAATCTTCGTCGCCAATCCAACAGGCCTTCCCACTGCTTTTTGTGCTGTTTCTGTGTTGAGCGATCTAGACAGGTGTGAATACTGCAGGCCTGCTGTGTCACCTAATGCTGACAGAGGATGTCTAACTGGTGTGCGTGTATGTGCGATTTCTTCTGTCAGATCTGTCGCTTTTCTGTCCCCGCTGACTACATGTCCCCCACCTCAAAACAGTTTAGGAATGGGGGGGAAAAATACAGTGACACGGGGCATTGCTGCATTCACGTCAAGTTGAGTTTACTGTAAATATAAGTTGTGGCGGTGGAGCACAAAATAACAGGGTATGTCAGCCAGACTGCGATAAAGAGATGTGCAGGAATTTTGGGAGGAGGATGGAAACATTTCTACTATTGAGGAAATGTGTCAACACAGCGAATCAGAAGACATCGGCAGCCTAAGTGGATAATAATATGTGTCATTCCAAGTTTCAGCAGGTGAGACAGCTTTTAGAAAAATCGTCTCCCCTTTTATCGAGCTGAACTTGGCCCCTCTGGAGCTTTTTGCAGGTGACAATCCCCTCAGCTTATTTTCTACTTGCGACTCCAAAAACATCTCCAAACCACGGTAAAAGAAACAAACCTTAGTTATCTTGAATAATTTTGAATGACAAATTGATATTTTCACTTGCTACTAATATTTAGTTTAGTTCAATTCAATTTCATTTATATAACCAAATCACGGCAAAGGCAAAGTAATTACTATTATATTAGGCATAATACTGAGAACCTTAGACAACATTTGGGTGGCAGCGTTTCTGGTTCCATCCTCATAGTGTTTACTGTGATACGTCCAGTGATGCCAGTGAGTCCAGACAAATGGCACTTACAATCTACGATGTTAAATCTGTCCTATAATTATTTTCTTCATGCCTGTATCATCAAGTTACAGACCCCTGAGCCCCTTTGTCATTGCTGTATATCCTGGTGGTGTGGATCAGTGAATCGAAATCCCCTCATTCTTACTTGCTAGAGCGCTCTTTGTGTTGAGCTTTATTAACAGCAGTGCTGGAATGCTTACACTGGAAGCAGGAAACAGGAAGTACTCGGTCACGTATCTCTTGTGCATACTGTGCACAAGAGATACGTTTTTCTTTGCACCTAAAATCACTCCTGCAGTACATGCACAGACGACGTCTGGTTGGTGTTCTGGATATGGCGAG